AAGTAACAACAATGCAACACCAAAGTGGATTCAAGGCAACAACTTTAGGAGATAAGTGCCTTTAGAAATCAAGGAAGGTGCCAAGCCTTCAAAACCAAAGAAAACAACCGTGGATACTAGAAAAGGAAAACAAGTGGCCAATACTGAGAGAACATGAGACATCAAATGTTTTAAGTGCTTTGGAGAGGTCACATGGCGAACCAATGCTCAAATTGGAACACAATGCTATTGTTAGAAAATGGTGAATTTGTATCAGACAATGAGGACGAAAAAGAGGAAGATCCAATTAAAGAAGAAGAGAAAGATATCGAGGCTACTGTGGATGGAGATTTTCTTGTTGTTAAAAGACTTCTAAGCACCAAATGACCGTTAAGGAGAATTAAAGGGAAAATATCTTTCATACAAGGTGCAACGTGAATGAAAAATATATGTTTTATGATTATTGGAGGGATTTGCACTAATGTTGTTAGCACCGTCATGATTAAGAAATTGGGCCTAAAGACGTTAAAGCATCCAACTCCTTACAAACTTCAACGGTTAAATAATAGAGGCGAGTTAAATGTGACAAGACAAGTACTAATACCATTCTCCATTGGAAAATACAAGGATGAGGTATTATGTGATGTTGTTCCTATGCATGCAAGTCACATACAACTTAGAAGGCCATGGCAATATGATAAAATACTATCCATGATTGCTGCACCAACTAATACTCTTTCAAACGTGAAGGAAAAAAGACCATTTTAGCACCACTATCATTAAAACAAGTGAAGAATGATATGATACACATGAAGAAGAGTATTGAAGCCATGAGAAATAAGCACAAAGTTTCAAAACCATTGAAGTAGGAATCTGAAAAGTCAAATGCCCTTACCAATGGTTGTGTCGCTTCAAACAAGGAGGAAATACAAGGGACATATCTTATCACCGAAAGACATGATGTTTCCAAATAGCACCAAGGAGGCGTTCAAGAGATAAATGCCTTTACAAAAGAGCATGATGATTCCAAAGGGAACAAATGAGGGACCCAAATAGCATATGTCTATTCGGGAAAAGAGATGATTAGGAAATGTCTCTTGACACAACCTATGATCAACTTATCTAATGTTAATCGAGTTTTTAGAGAAATTCATTCTTTTTTTACAGGATTGACCAAGAAGATTGAGCATCTCATTTAGAGGGAAGTGTAATGATTTGACCACCCCTACATTAAGCTAGTCTTTATTGTGGAATAACTTCGATTTAAGGACAAATAACCTAACAAAGGGGGGATTATGTGATCCTACTCAAGCACCTATTGTTGTCCATTTTTTTCATCTTTTCTCACAAGGATGAAAGAATATGGAGCTTTTATTTCTTTACATATTATTTATTATACATGTTTATGGTATCTATGTCATTCATATCATTCTATGCCTTGATTTATATTTCTTGCATATAATGCATTATCATGTCATTGACATAGTTTATAATATGGATTTTAAATTAGAACTCATGTTCTTATACCTTAGTCCTTATATTATGCATATTACCTAAGTTATATGAATGATTATATGTTCCACATCTTTAAACTTAACTATGTCATGCATATTTCATGTTTCACATCATTTACCTATGTTTACATATCATTTGCATACTTAGCATAGGTGTGCATTATATTTCTTTATTGTTCTTAGCTTCTTACTATCTAACTTAGTATTTTCATGGATCTCATAGGTGCATGACTTAAGTATGGAAGCTTTGGTAGCTCATGGGCAAAAAATGATAGCTCACCAAGCGTAAAAGATCTCAACACCAAGCTAAGGCAGCTAAACTAGCAGAAAAGGTAGTTGAACTAACTGAATGAGAGCTGAACTTAGCTGGGAGGGAGTTGGGGACCAAGTAGCTTACCAGTAGAGTGGAGCTAGCTTTAGGGGAGTGAGCTGAGTAGCTGGAGTGACACTAGGAACCTAGCTTGAGCCTATCTAGCTGCAACTATCCTAGTTAATTACCTAAGGCATCACCTTTGGCGCCAAGACCAAGTCATGTACAAGGCACACCCTTGGTCAAACCATCACAAGCCTTTTCGGCCAAAGGAGAAGTTACTTACTAAGGGAAGTGACCATCCAAGCCAAGTATCTTCATTATTCGACCAAGTCTTCACTAAGCATCATTGTCGAACTATCACAAGCATTCATTCCTCATAGCCGAACCATCATCACCATTAGGCCTTGGAAGGACATGATCATTCAAAGATGAATTCAAACCAAAACCATCATCTTTATTCAGCCATTAGAAGGCTTATGCATTCAAAAGAGGCTTGTTGAATCAACACCATCATTATTCAACCTAAGGACATCATTTTTCATTTAAAACATCACGTGACTTCAAAAGGGTGCATCCTAGTCAAACCATTACTTGTTTATTCGGCCCTTCCCTTTGGTTTCTTTTAAATAACCAATGCCTTGGCTTTATAAGGCATCTCATCTTTGCTTAATTTAATCCTTTGTGAGACATTTCTATCTTTAAGTTCTTTTGTGAACTTTATTGACTTATCAAACCTAGTGCTTATGGCGTCAACCCCTCTCTATTTCTATTGATACTTGTGTTCCCTAGTTCCTTTATAACTAGTGGGTCCAAGTCCTTGTTTACTACTTGGACATTGAACTTAAAAGGCTAGGGGTTTTGCTTCTATATCATTATTTCTACCTTAGTTCTTGTTCATACTATCCATCATCAATTTCATTCATATTTAACCATCACCACACCCAAACTATTATACAAAACAAGCCACTTAAATCATCAATCTATCTTATTTCTTATTTGATTCTAGCCCACCATTTTACCCTTACATCAAGCCAATTATACACTTTCTTTTGAGCCTTATCTTGTTTGCAGGTTGTCTTACTTTCTTCCTAGATCTAACAATCAAGGGACTATCGTCTACAATATCATCCTTAGGCATACTTACCTTCACATCATGCATCAATACTAATCAAGTAATAGAAGTTGAAGAAAAGGAAAAAGAGAAGATGTATATAACTAGTCAATTGCATTGTTCATGGGAAGGTAAATGCTACAACACTAATCGAGGAAAATGAAGAAGGAAGTTGAAGGAAATGAATCACCTGAGCTTGGTGATTGAATTAACAATTTAATGCTTGAACAATATGAAGAAAATGAAATTATTTTCGGGATATGCATAAGAAAGAGGTACTTGAAGGAAAATAAAAGAAATGTCAACGGGAAAAAGTATGATGGTTTTGAAATTGAAGTTACTATTGTTATTATTATATATTTCTCCATTCATTTTTTTTTGCTTTCGAAAGTGATTTTAAGGGTAATTGAGGAGATGATGCATTTATTGATTTGTTTTAGTGGCATTCTTCGTGATTATTTTCTTCCAAACTATAATCTTTCACTATCGTTTTAGAAATTCAAAAACATTATTGTTTTTATAAAAATGACAAATGTAAGGGATTGTTGCGAAATTTCATGGAAGAAAAAGAAACACCTAATTGTATTTTAATAATTGTGTTGTATTCTTTTTTTTTTGTTTAGTTGGCGGCGACATGAACGTTAATGTTGGGTGTCTACCGTCGGTGATTATTAGTTCTCTCACTTTTTTATATTATGTCTTTTATTTTCTTTTTTTCGTGAGCCTTTTTGAATTTTGAATAAGAATCTCTGTCCTTGTGACACGTTTCTCTACTCTTGTGGCATGATCCTTATGGTTTTTGATACGTTTTTCCGCATACCTTTGCATTCGTTTTGGTACTCGTATAAAAATAATCACGACATTTATTTTTTGATTGTTTTATCGATGGTCACGTATATCAGATCCCTTCTTTGGTATAAGATTTTTTGCCAATGTAATCAGAATTGTGTAGTGAAGCAGCCTGCCAGATTGTTTGGTTCGCTCACCAATCATTTATCACTTCGTATAACATCTCATTTGACAAAGACAATGAGTTTTATGAAGGTTATTGGGTTTTGATGTTGGTTGTCATTCTCAATGGAAGGCTTTATTTTTCTTTGTATCTATAGGTTTAATATTTTTTTGTATGAGTATATTGGTGACTATTGTCTCCAATTTTCTCTCTATATTTTGATGCGTTGTAATTTTGATTCATTCAATTATTAATAAAAAATTAGTTGTTATTGTTAAAAAAATATTTTATGTATATGCGGTGTTCAAATTTTGAATCTTAAGAAATAATAAAAATTTCTTAATATAGTTTAGCTCATGCAGAATTTTATATATTAAATAAGTCTTTAGTGTACTTTATTATTAGGATTTTGATACCCACTTAGACTATAATTTTATATGATATTTATTCCTTATATCTTTGATTATAAAATTTAGAGAAAATAATCAACGGGTTGGATCAATTGGTAAGCAACTCAATATCATTCAAGTTAGTCTCGAGTTCGAGGCCTTTCGTATGCAAAAATCTCTGTTGAGAGATTCACCCACTAAAACTTAGTGTGCGACATGGGTCAATCTAGATTAGTCAGGGTAAAACCCTAAGGAAGCGTGAGAGCAACTAAAAGTTTTTTTTATAAAAAAACATTAACAACAATCTCTAGAGTAGATGATTAAAAGCTCTTACATCTTCTCTCTTATATCGTGAGTTCAAAATTCTCCTAGATATGAATTATTTTAAAAAAATTAGAGAAAACATTACACACAATTCATATTGAAAATAATATATATTTATTTTCATGTTTATTCTTGTTATTTTTCTTTCTTTTTTGTTATTTTTATTTTTTTATAACTTTTCAAATTTTATTTTTAATGAATATTTTAATTAAATTAACATATAAGATAAAATAATAATATAAAAGTAATTAAGAACATAATAGTTATATAAGAAAAATTGAAAAATATTTTATAAAGACAATGCATAGGATAATATTATATGGAGTAAAATATTCTTGTCGGTCTCTTAGGAGAAGAGTAATAATATAAGCCCCTAAAGAAATGTTTAATTATATTTTCATCCTCTTGGTTAGGCGTTTTTAATTTCATGTCCCATAGCCAGGGCTTTTTCATTTTCATTTTATGTTTGGCCGGATCTAAGGCATCCGTTCACCTCCAATCCCCTTCCTCCTTTCCGGCGGCAAACAAGATTCTTTGTTTGCCTCTTATTTTCCATCAGTCTTCCAACACTCCACGTTGTCTACAGAGATGCTAATGACTTCTCGATTATTCGCGACTGCCGCCGAGAAAATCAGGCCCTCGGCGATGAAGCTGCAAGTTTTGACTTTAACCGAATCAGCCGCCTCCAGAATACGTCACCTTCTTCAACAACGCAATAGACCCTTCCTTCGATTGGGTGTTAAGGCTCGCGGTTGCAACGGCTTGTCCTACACCCTCAACTACGCCGGTTAGTCTTATATTATTGTACTCTTGAATTCAATATCTTTATATTTGTGAATTCATTTAATGTTTTGGGGATTTATTTTTATTTTACGGAATTGACTGATAGATGAGAAAGGAAAGTTCGATGAACTGGTAGAAGACAAGGGCGTGAAAATATTGATTGAACCTAAAGCTTTGATGCATGTTATTGGAACCAAGATGGATTTTGTGGATGATAAACTTAGGTATTTCATATTTAATCTTGTCGGAGCTTTATTTTATGTGTTTTTCCTATCATTTTGTTTCATTTGCTAGCTAAATTTTGTGTCTTTATATGATCAATTGAATTGAGAAGCTTAAATTAGATTTAAAGCACTAACATTTGACCATTCAGTAGTCAGGTAAATGTACCATTTAGTTTGTGTTTGTTTCTTATCCTTAGGTGGAAAAGTAGAAATTTTTGGTTCACCAATGCATAAACGCTTCCAACCTCTGCACCTTTTACATTTTTCTTGAATTCCGAGTCTATGTTATCCAGTCTTCATGTTTCCTAGAATATTGTATCCCGGAACCAATCTAGAAATATTTTTTTTTAAAGATGAATACGAATATATTAATTACATAAATTTTTTTATAGTTTGAACACAAATAAAATTACAATTTAGATACAATCAGTAAAATAAATAATTAATTGAAAAAAATTTAAATTTCAAGAATAAATAATTTAGTAAAGAAAATTTGAATTTCAAGAATAAATAATTAAGTAAAGAAAATTTGTATTTCAAGATGCATCCACTGCTGCGTGTCCTATATCTGTTGTTCCACAATTCACATTCCAGATATGATTCTCCTAATATGTTTAAAAAAACCTAAAAAATCGAAGATACCCATATATATTTTGACACTGAGAATCTGAGTCACATTGTTCATAATATTTCTAACTAGTGTTGACTCCATGGCTGTTATTGCCTATCATCGTTTCTTTTGCTAGTAATAACTCGTTCCAACAATGGCTACATATTATAGCATTCTACCAGTCGCCATCCACCTTCATTGCATCCTTTTTACTGTTGCTCGGCGGACTTTCCTGAACTTAGGCCGTTCTAGTCGGGAAGAAAAGTATCTTCTTTAGCAGAGCTTTTAACTAGATAATCTGGAATGTTGCACGTAAAAGCATCAAGCATGTAGAAGGCTTTGACATTAGCAGAGTTAAACATAACTTGGCATGAATCACAAAGATTTCTGTTGAGAGTTATTGTTGATTGCATTTTGATTGGTATTCAATTTTCCCTTCACAGGTCTGAGTTCGTTTTTATCAACCCAAACTCGAAAGGTCAATGTGGATGCGGTGAATCTTTCATGACAACAGCTGCTAAACAGGGTGGTAGTTAAGGGATATTGGGAGCCCTTCTAATAAGCTAAGATTTGAAATAACCTACTTGATTCCGAGGAGCTCTCTAATTTAACCTTCGAAATAAAACTAAGACGTAAATGCTATTAGTTTTGTGGCAGTTGCTGCCAACTAATTGCATGAGGATAGGTGGCATATAGATTCAGGATTGCCGTGTCACCATGATAGCTCGGCATCTGAAAATTGTTGTGTATATTTCATTTCATGTGTGTTTCTGATATGATGTCTATTCAGATGAGGGTTGCACGAAAGTTATTGGAAGATACAAGACTGTCTTAGGTGTCTTGAGAAAAGTTATATTAAATAGATTTTTGCAAGAATTGAAACTCCAGACCACTTGTACTGTTATTGTGATTCCTGGTGTTATCTTCATTTATAAATCTTTTGAGCTGTTTATTTCACTTTACAATGGACAACTCAAGCTTCTTCTCATCTTTCTCAGTTTTTCTTTAGCTTTCCGAGCTTTCGTCTGTGTTTTCAATTTCCATTCCTCAAAGCACTGCAAGAAAAATACACTAAGATTAGGAAGAACAAAGCTGAAAAATGGATCATGTAGAATTTATACATGTTACATGGGTAGATGTTGTTGCCATTCGAACATTTTCTATGCTATGTAACAACTATATGCTTAGAAAAAGAACACGAATGCTTCACTGTTGCTTTCTTTTCCTCTCCAGTTCTGCCTGTTATTGATACAAGTAAGAAGAAAGTAAATTCTTTATAGAATAGATGATAAAAGCTACCATGAAAACTCATCAAATTTTATGAAAATGAACAAAATGAAGTTATTTTTACCAGAGCCTGCTTAAGGTGAGCATTTTCTTGTTTCAATTGGTTCAATTCAGCTTCTAGTTCCACTGTGTATGCCTGTATAAAACCAAAACCAACCTTGTGAGAGGTACTTTCGGGGTCTCATAGTTTCACTTCTTCAATAGTTATTAGTTTTGATATATACCTGTTTTCTAGCTCTAGACCTTGCGGCAGACTCCCTGTTCTTAATCATCCTACGTTGCCTTCTCTCAACTACCTTCTCTATTGGACCATCGAAGATCCTTTGCCTTCCTGTACCGCCCCGATGTCCATCCCGAATTGTGAAACTGGATTAACGATTTGATTGGTACAAATCCTTTCCGATGAGATTGGACTCATCGGCGCCACTGCCCCCATTGATTTTTCTGGACCATAGCCACCAGGAGGATCTACCTTCCCTTTATAACAAACAGCCGTAAGTGGTGGTGGTGCATCAGGCTGGTAGCTACCACCAGTCTTACTATCATTCAAACCTGGTGGAGGCATTGTTTGGTATGCAGTTCCACTAAAGCCAGCAGGCCTGGAAACAAAACCTGAACCGACCACAGGGTTATTACTAGTTGGATACACCCCATATTGTGGGGGTTGATGATGCTGTGGAGGCGGTACCGATGGCGGCGGCAATGGCATGCATTGTTCCCTTACTATCCCTGCCTTAATCAAGAAATCCTCCAAGGTCATCTCACCGAAAGTAGGCTGCCGCTGAGTATTGGCATCCTCATCGGCGTTATGCACATTGCTATTGTTACTCTGTCCTTGTCCTTGCTGCCCTCTTTGTATCTCCGACCAAACTTCATCGACCGTCTTACTACACAGCGGTGCAGGAAGCGTAAGCGAGGCTTGCCTTGCCAAGCTAGGCTGCTTAGCTATACCTCTACTACTTGATGTTTCATTCGGAGGCGAATGAAAATGGGAACCAAGTTGTTTATTATTGGCCGAGTTGTTTTGATGATTGCTAGAGTTGATGGCTTGGTTTTCTTCGGCGTTCCAAATACTGGCAAGGAACTCGTCCATGTTCATGGACCCAAAGTTCTTCCCACCCTCACACAGTGTATGCTGGAACTCATCAAGTGTTAGAGAATAGATTGAAGACTGTCTTCCAAGTTCTGAGCATGGGTGGTTCTTCTGCTGCTGATCCGACGCCTGTAACGCTGACTCGACCTCGTAGGCCTCCGAGTCGGACACTGCCATTGCCTTTTTGGTGATGAAAAGCTCTCAATTCTCTGCCTACACAAATGTTACAAAGAAGGGACTATGAAAACTGTAAATCTTGCTTTAACATTTAAAACCATAAAAAAGACATAAAGATCATATGCATGTATGTATGTATAAGTATGTGTAACATACCTGGTTCCAAGGAGGAAGAAGATAATTTAGCTGAAAATTAGCTTAGTTTGGCAATGCTGTACAAAACCAGCATTAAATTATATAGGATTTACGTATGAGGAAGAGATGAGTTGCAGATGTGAAAATGCAGTGGTTTTGTATGGATGAAAGGGGGAAGGTATATAAGTTGCAGGGTGGGGTCCAATCAAAGAGCAGCTTAAGGCTATATATAGTCAACCTAACGCAGACAGGAAGTTGAGAATATAAAAACTGCGTCCCAAAATATGCATTGCGGGCGGCTAAGGGCTATCTCTGCTGGCCACGTTTGCCCAGGTGGCTCGCTCTGCCTTGCTTTGGTGCTGTTCGCTCAACGCGTGTGCTCTTTCCCCTTTTGCTCATCATCCTCACCAACTCTAATTCGAAAATCACGACCACGTTCATTATCTCCACTCCCTGAGTGAGTTTGGCTCGCTACTATTTATTTAATAACAAAGAAACCCTACTTTCTTTTTATTAATAAAAATAGGACGATAATGAGCGATAATATCTATTTTCTAGATAGTTAATCCTTCGATAATAAATGTTTAAATATTTTATAATGATTGATATTTCAATATATTACTTTTAATGATAACAACATTAAGACGTTAAGTATAAATCCTACATCTTCTGTTTTGTTTAAGGGTTAACTTCTCTGATTATAGGCATAAGAAGTACCATCATGATCTAGTTTAAAGTTTTATAATTATATATGTATATTTTATCACAGTTTTGATGTTGGTGAATTGAAACCTTCTATATATTACATAAAGTTATAATTAAAATGGTAAGAGGTTTGTATGTAAATTATATATTGTAGGTTCAAACTTAAGTAGTGATTTTTATTTTATTTTTACTTCAAAATTATGTGAAATGATGAAACATAAACTTTTATATAATATTTAAAATAAAATATTATAATAGTTCTTTATTAATTAGATTTAATTAACATTAATTTTAATTAAATGTTAATAATAGTAGTAATATGCAAATAAACATTTTAATTCTAAAATCTGTAAAATAAATTAATTTAGTGTCACGTTGCCCTTCTATTAGTTCTGAGAATAGAGAGAGAAATTCATAGATGAAGGATTATTTTTCTTAATCTGTTGAATAATCTCTATCTAGGAGTGGAAAAAGAAAAATTTTGCTCATCATGAATATTAAACCCACAACAATTGAGGGTGAAGATGTCACATATAACCTTTAATCATCTACTTTAGAGATTGTCGACTGAAATCTAAATTATTTAGTGAACGATATTTTCTTTTATTACTAAGATTATTCAATGAATTCCAGACATAATATTATTTAATATATTTTATTTTATTTTATAATCTAAATCAAAATCTATCCATTTATAAATCTATAAAGAAATAAAAAAATATTGACATTGTAGTCAGATACAATGAATGAGTTCACTTATCATCTTAGAGTAATGGTTGAGATTTTATTCACGAATCGATGATTAGAGTTCAAATTTTAGTAATATTGTTCTCTAACTTTATATCATACAATTCTTTTTTTTTTTTGGCCGAAGGTCGAAAAGAAGAAGTAGGGAGCTTTGTAAGAGAGATAAATTGGACTGTACATTTTATTGAACTAATTTCAAATGTTAAATACACAAGGTTTCAACAATTTCTACTAGTGTTAAGTAGTATTTGTTATAAATACTCTCAATCATTTAAAAATAAGCGCTCAATTATCATGCTGCAATTGTTGGTTCTTGAACTCGTAGACTTTAAAAACATCAATGATTTATTTAACTATAGAGATAAGTTAATTCGTGCTTACGTTATTAAGATAAAGCATATTTAAAGGGGTAGACATTTTCATCCATCTAGATATCACATCTTCAGTAAGGGATTCGTTATTCCCTATCATTTGGTATTGATTTTACATTAACAAGGGAAGAAATTTTTAATCAATTTTATTTTACGATTGTACATATAAAAGTAATACATCGATAAAACATAGTCAACATAGACAGACTGGATGTAGACGTGACTGAATTATCTAATATTCTTGAAGTCCTAGTTGCATCAAGGATAAAAGTCCAACTTCAAAACTGATGTTTTGATTCTTTCCCCAAAGAAGAACTTAAGTTTAAATCTATCCGAACTTTTGATTATTGCTCTATCATTATTAACGAATTAGATGATAAAGGTGGATCGTCTGATTAACAAGAAATTTTGATAATGAGCAACAACAAGCATAGGTTCTTGATGCTTTGTGCGAATGTGTTTGTCCAGAGCCTTTACGCTTTTTGAGGAGATTTCAATTATGAGGCGAAGGCTTCTTAAAGTAGGATTCTCAACGCTTAGATGCGAAGATTTTTGGTATTGAGCAAAGGATGATCGAGCAAGGCCTCTTCGTGCAAGATTCTCAATGTTTGAGTACAATGGTATATCTTAGGTAATGTCTTTTTCTGTGAACATCTTTGAGGTTCTGTAGGAGATCTCACGCGAAGAAAAAGAGAATTTATTCGTATTTTGATGTTGTGGGGAGTCAATGAAGATCTTTCAATTCTTTTGGACTGTTTTTCGATGTAGAGATAGAGTTCTAGATTGTAACGTCTTAATATGGTCCACTGAGAGGCTAACTCAAATTTTTTTCTTTTAAAACAACATCAACATGATTTAATCAAACTCATAAAAATAAAAATGATTTTAAAACATACAGATTTAGTGTTTACAGAATATGAGCTCCATTGTAAATTCAAATACATAATACATAAGTTCAATAAACAGAGTTTACAACTCAAATACAAATAAGGTCCTTCTAAAGTACATGCTCACATATAGCATCTAAGATGTACTCTGATTAGAACGATCCAAGCTGGAGTCACACTTGGCGGACGGAAACACATTCTAAACGTTGAGCTCACAAGCAAAGTGCAACACAAATAACTCTAACATACTATGTACATTCATCACATAGGCATGTGAACAAGTATAATCATAAACATGCAATCAATCCAACTCACAACAAGTAGGCATCATAGTGTAGTCGGAGGGTCACATATCATCTCAGGACTCACACCCCTCTATCCTACTTAAGGTACCCTAGATAAGACCCGAGTCATTCAGCTTCGGAATCTTCATCTAGGAAGACCATCTTGCTCTAATACCCAGGACACCCTGGGGTCATATAGGATCGAAGCCTATGTCTTGCTAGTCTACTCTTCAAAGTACTTGGAACGCCTCCAGGATCACTTAGCA